ATAGAAGCTGGCGTCTACCACACCAGGGAACACCCAGGGTGCAGACTGTGCAAAGAGGCCTCTGAGACAGTCCGGCACCTAGTAGCCAGATGCAAGATGTTACCAGGAACAAGGAGAGACACAACCAAGTTGCTGTGATTGTGTACGGAAACATCTGCACAGAATATGGATTGGACCTGCCTAAGTCCAGATGGGAGATACCACAAAGGGTAGTTGAGAATGACAGGGCTAAGATCCTGTGGGATTTCAAGATCCCGACAGACAAGTAAGTGCTGGCCAACCAACCAGACTTTGCGGTGGTAGACAAGGAATGAAAGACTGCAGTCGTGGTGGATGTGGCAATACCCAGTGACTATAACATCAGGAAGAAGGAACATGAGAAGGTGGACTGAAAGAAGAATTAGAAAGGATGTGGAAAGTGAAGGCAGTAGTAGTCCCAGCTGTGATAGGAGCACTCAGGGCTGTGACTCCCAAATTTGGGGAGTGGCTTCATCAGATTCCAGGTGGGACATCTGAGATCGTTGTCCAGAAGAGTGCAGTTCTAGGAACAGCTAAGATATTGCGCAGAACCTTCAAATGCCCAGGCCTCTGGTAGAGGACACGAGAATGAGAAATAAATATACCGCCCAGTAAGGGTGAGAAAATCAATTATTTATATACTAAACAGGTTTCTTGTGTATATGTCTTTAGAAGGCTTAAAAAAAAAAAACATGCTGCTTGTCCCCTAAACCAGGGACGGACTTGACAGCCTTTTGGCCATTTTAAGTTCACTATATTTGCATTAAGTATAACTTTATGAATGCATGTTTGCATTTGAGCGTGTAAAATCAGTGTCAATAGTCCTTTATTTTTACTTTTTTTTTCCACATAATGCCATGAATATGTGTATTTGTGGAATGTCAGTGTGTGCATCTTCAAAGAAAAAATGTGAGTGCATGGAGTGTGTCAATGGAGGGATGCTTTCTGTCTACTGCAAGAATGTTAATGCTGTCTTGTATTTATATGTAATTTCAGAATTCATTGTATGTATCAAAGTAAGTTTGCATGTGTGTTATGTTGATATGTGTGTAACATTTATTTCATGTAGTACCAGTAAGTATAAAGTACATGTGTTTTTTTGCATGTAGTGTATATGTGTGAATGCAGTGTTCTATAATTAGAATGTAGAACATATGTGTGTGAATGTAGAGTTCTATCTATAGGGAATTATGACTTATGCGGTGGTATATTTGTATGGAATTTTGATGTCACAAGTATATTTGTTTTGAATATTTTTTATTGTTTTCACGGTGTAAACACAAATATCAAACTTGTTTGTTGTAAAGCAAGTGGCGCCCACGCAGGGGTGTAAACATCAATATGTATAGATGTATGCATTTTGTCGCCTGCACAGAGGCGAAGTTGTCAAAGCATGTGTAACATAACAGGTAGGTTCACATTTGGGTGCTTGTATTTTGCAACTGTAGGGCCTGTAGTGCACATTTATGGAGGTTAGACTTATGGGTATGGTTGTAAGGGCTCCTGCCTTTTGTGTTAAATGGTTTTTATGTTGTAGGCATGGTTTAGGCGCTCATATAACACGTTCAGTCAGTTTTGCATCATCGTCTATGCAGAGGCTCTGCTAGTTTTGCAAGGGCATTAGCACGTGGCCTACACAGAGGCCTTGTAGAGCCTTACTTCGCCTCTTCTTCGAGTTGTGTGTATTACCCGTGCATTACCCATGTTGTTTTCGGTAGTGGTCTATTTTTGCACATTAAAGGGAACAAATCTTATGCGACTGAGTATGGTTTGGTGTGTAGCGTGCGAGTGGTCTATTGTATTGAAAGTGTGGGCTCAGAGCGTTCTAATCGTTAGGCGCTTGGTCATATGAGTTTGATCTTGCTTAGGGGTGGCCAGTGCGTGTAGTTGGGTCGTCTAGGGTGCTGCTATCGTCTAGGGTAATTCTTCGTTGGGATTCACTACCGTGTATTGGTTCCCCCTAGTCTATAACTCGGAGCGCCGCTCCATGTCTCATCGATCCTTGTTCCCTCCCGGTTTATTGTGGTTGTGTGGGTTACTCTATCTGGGTCGTGCTTTTGGGTAATGGTTGGGTTGTGTGTGGTGTCGTGGGTGTCTGTGGGTCTTGATTGTACATGTCATAATAGGGGTAGTGTGTTTGGTCTTGTTTCGCGGTGTGTGGTCCCCTGGCTCAATGCCGTTGGTGTGCAATTGGGTTGGCATGTTGCTCTGTCCCGTTTGCTTTTGGTATCTGTGATTCTTGATCTGTATGTGGTGTCCCGTGTGGGGTGGCGGTTTGGGGGAAGGTGAGAGGAAGGGCAGCGGAGTCACACCCTCTATCGCCGCTCCAGTCCACCGCTCCCCAAGGCCTCACCTCAATCCTCCCTGGGCTCGTCTGTGTCTCCCCCTATGTCCCTGCTCATGGTTCAGTTATGTGTCGTAAAAAGTCGTCCGTGGTGAGGCTGCGTGCACTGTGGAACCAGCGTTTTGTGTAGTTGTCTCTTTGTTTCAGGGTGGTCACTTTCATGTCCTCGAACCTCCACACTCATCTGCCTCCAGAAGATGGGGATGATGGCCTTGGCTGCGCTGAGGAGCCTCTGGATGATGGATCGGGTGTATGCCAGCGTCGGTGTGGTGGAGAAGGAAGGTGGCCGGTGACCGTGGCAGGGATTCGTCCGTTATTTCTTGTATCACTTTCTGGATTGCTTTCATGTCCTCAAACCTCCATATGTCCTCCACCTCCTCCACCCATCGTCTCACTGGTGACACACTTGTCTGCCTCCAGAAGATGGGGATGATGGCCTTGGCTGCATTGAGGAGCCTCGGGATGATGGATCGGGTGTATGCCGGTGTCGGTTTTGGTGGTGTGGTGGAGAAGGAAGGTGGCCGGTGACCGTGGTAGGGATTCGTCCGTTATTTCTTGTATCACTTTCTGGATTGCTTTCATGTCCTCAAACCTCCATAATGTCCTCCACCTCCTCCACCCATCGTCTCACTGGTGGCACACTTGTCTGCCTCCAGAAGATGGGGATGATGGCCTTGGCTGCATTGAGGAGCCTCGTGATGCTGGATCGGGAGTATGCCGGCGTCGGTTTTGGTGGTGTGGTGGAGAAGGAAGGTGGCCGGTGACCGTGGTAGGGATTCGTCCGTTACGTCTTGTATCACTTTCCGGATTGTCTCCCAGAAGGGTCGGATGCGGACGCAGCTCCACCAGATGTGTGTGAAGGTGCCCACGGCCTCATCACATCTCCAGCAAGTGTCTGGGATCTGTGGGTCCCTGGCGTGGAGGGATGATGGGGTTAGGTACCACCTGGTGAGGCTTTTGTACGAATTTTCTTGTAGCCTCACCGATCCCAGTGTTTTCTGTACGAGGGTGATGATTTTGTCCCAATCAGCTTCTGTCATGGGCTCGTCCAGGTCCTCCTCCCAATGTCTGATGCATGGGGGTGCCAGTAGGTATCTGTTCGTAATGATGGCCGAGTATATCTGTGATATGGCTCAGGTTGGTTCTTGGCAGGGGAATACCTGGAGCATTTGGCACCCGGGGCGGATCCTATATTTGGCACCCCCCTCCTCTTTAAAAGTGTCTTTAGCATTTGAATGCAGGAGTGCATTTTTCTGTAGTGTGGTTTTTGAATATGGTGGTGTGTTTTTATGTAGGGTTGACATTTGGATGCAGGGTTATATTTGTGTGTAGTGTAGGTGAAATGCTGAGATATATGCACATATACATACATATATATACACACACTAGCACACATACACAGACACATAGGTACACACATGCAGTTACATAGAAACAGTCATACACAGACAATCATTGGCACATACAGATAGACACAGATACACACATAGATAAAAACACACACACATACAGACACAGAGAGAGACACACAGGCACATACACACATACAGACACAATGATACAAACACAGACAAACAAACAGATACAGAGACACACACTGACACATACAGACAGGGCCGGTGCTACCATTTTTGCCTGGGGCGCCGACCTGAAGGGGGCGCCCACCTGGAGGTTTCTGGGTGGGCTGCTCCTGTGGGTGGGCAGCGGGCTTCTCTTGCCTGGGGTTGGAGCGTTGGGTAAGTGGCTGTTTAGCCAAACCCCAGCGCAGCCATATCCTGTGCTCCCTCTGCCTCCCTGATGCTGCAGAGCCGATCATCTGCTCAGGGAGAGGGGATCTGTTGAATCCCCAGTACCCGAGCAGAGCACTGTGCTTCCTGCAGGCAGGGGAAGCCGGGATGTGACCTGGTACCCTGGCTGCCCCCTGCCTGTGAACACAGGAAGCACAGTGAAGGGAGCAGGAAGCAGCCTGTGCTCACAGTGCACGGCTCTCCTGCTCCACCAGGAACCAGGGCAGATACCTGCAGGCTGAAATATGATCCCCTTCTCCTCCAGTCACATCACTAGAACAGGTATGGCATCACTGGAGGATAAGGGGAGATGGTTATTATTGTGGGTATGTTTGAACATTGGTGTGTTAAGTTTGTTTGTGGGTGTGTGTTTTAATAAACTGACTATATGTAAACTGGTGTGAGTGACATTGTGTGTGTGTATTTCAGTGAGAGTGTGTGTGTGTGTGTGTGTGTTAGTGAGAATGTGACATAGTGTTTGTTTGTGTGTATGTGTGTGTTTGTCAGTAAGAGTGTGTGTGTGTGTGTGTGAGAGAGATGGTGTGTGTGTGTGTGTGTGTGTGTGTGCCAGTGAGTGTGTGACCAGTTATATTTCTAATACATTAATATAATTATATATATTATATTTAAAAAAAACATTTTACTTACAGTGTGCCTTTCAGACAAGTTCCCTGTTGCACACATTAAATACCACCATTATCATAAACTAAATGCACAATAGTATAAGTTAAATCCCACCAAATGAATTGAATAAATTTGTTATAACAACCATAAATGTATACAATGTAAAATGTATATGTATTAGGCAGTATGTGCATATGGATGTGTGTGTTGGGCAGTATATGCGCATGGATGTATGTGTTGGGCAGTATGTGCGCATGGATGTATGTGTTGGGCAGTATGTACGTATGGATGTATGTGTTGGGCAGTATGTGCGCATGGATGTATGTGTTGGGCAGTATGTGCGTATGGATGTATGTGTTGGGCAGTATGTGCGCATGGATGTATGTGTTGGGCAGTATGTGCGCATGGATGTATGTGTTGGGCAGTATGTGCGCATGGATGTATGTGTTGGGCAGTATGTACGTATGGATGTATGTGTTGGGCAGTATGTACGTATGGATGTATGTGTTGGGCAGTATGTGCGCATGGATGTATGTGTTGGGCAGTATGTGCGTATGGATGTATGTGTTGGGCAGTATGTGCGCATGGATGTATGTGTTGGGCAGTATGTACGTATGGATGTATGTGTTGGGCAGTATCTACGTATGGATGTATGTGTTGGGCAGTATGTACGTATGGATGTATGTGTTGGGCAGTATGTGCGCATGGATGTATGTGTTGGGCAGTATCTACGTATGGATGTATGTGTTGGGAAGTATGTGCATATGGATGAATGTATTAGGCACTGTGTGTATAAGGGCCAGTGAGTGTGTATGGTTGAATGTATATATTAGGCAGCAGTGTATGGTTGTATGTATTGGCAGTCTGTGTGTGTATGGATGGATGTATTGGCAGGGTGTGTGTGTATGGATGTATGTATGTATTGGCAGTGTGTGTGTGTTCATATTGGACAGTTTCTTTTTCCCCCCCTAAATGTCTGCTCACTGTGTCTCTCCTAAAATGTCTCCTAGTCTGTATCAGTTTCCTAAAAACCTCAACAATCTCTCTATCCCTTTCCTAATTGCCTTCCAGGTCTGTTCCCTTTCCCTAAATTTATCACTGGTCTCTCTGTTTTCCCTTAGACACTTAGGTGTCTATTCACTAAACAGTGATTTGAAAAAGTTGAGATGACTTTATACAACTCTTCTGTTTTGGCCTAAATGTTTCAAGTTATATTTCAACTCACTGTTTAATGAATAGACAGGGAAAAGAAAAGAAGAGAAATTGACAGAAGATAATTACCGGATTATTCACTAAAGTGAGAATTGTAAGTGTAAGGGCAGAGTAGCCAAATGTGGAGAATGTTAACGGGTGTTTTGACCATAAATTAGAAGTTCAATTTGAATTCCCAACAATTCTCACTTTATTGAATAACCCTATTGGAATAAAGAGAAACAGGCTGGAGAGAATCAGTTGCATAGAGTGAGCAGATAAATCGTGAACATAGAGACTGCAAGCTTTTGGAAACAAAAACAAAGGAGAAAGCTGTGGATAAACGCTAATGAGAGAGATTGGGCACTATGGAGGAAAGGGACAGATGATCAGACCTAATTAAAAACCAAATGGCAAAATTTATACCATTTAGAAGAATTTGCCAACACCGCTACAGTCACAGTTCAGCTGTTTTTGCTTAAACTATGCAATTCGATTTCCAATTCACTGAATTCATAGTTTAGTGAATAAACTTCTGAGAGAGTGTAGTTGCATTCAAGAGGGGGCTGCAAAATGGATCTTTGCCTAGGGCGGCAAGAATCCTTGCACCGGCCCTGCATACAGATACACATATACCAACACACATGTATAAGTGTGTGTCTGTGTGTGTTTGTATAGTGAATGCAGTGTGTGTGCTTGTATAGTGGATAATGGTGTGAGGGAAGAGGTGATGGTGGGGGGGTGAAGTGAGAGGGAGCTCAGGAGGGGGGGTCAGGATGAGGGAGGGGTGATTGTGAGAGGGGGTGGTGATTGTGAGAGGGGGTGATTGTGAGGAGGAGGGGGTGATGAGGAGGGTGATTGTGGGAGAGGGGTGATGAGGAGAGGAGGGGTGATAAGGAGAGGGAGGGTGGCGTGATTGTGGAGAGGGTGATGGTGTGGGGAGTTGAAGAGAGGGAACTCAGGAAGGGGGTGAGGATGAGAAGGAAGGGGTCATAGTGATGGGGTGATTGTGAGAGGTGGGGGGATTGTAAGAGGGAGGAGGGGTGATTGTGAGAGGGAGGGGTGATGAGGAGAGTGGAGGATTGTTAGAGGGGTGGATTGTGAGAGGGAGGGGGGTTAGGAGGAGGGGGGGGTGATTGTGAGAGGAGGGTGATGAGGAGAGGGGGTGATTGTGAGGGGGGGTGATGAGGAGAGGGGAGAGGGGGGGTGATGCAGGGGGGACTTAAAAATTACCATAAATCCCTGGTGGTCCAGTGGGGGCTGCCTGGTGGTGTCCCTGGTGGTCCGGTGGCCATCATTTCTGGTCTGCAGCTCTGCCATGGATCTCGCAAGACCCAATCAGAGCGTTGCTGTGGTAACCCGCGGCAACGCTCTGATTGGGCAGTGCTCGCGAGACACATGGTCTGCAGCTCTGCACACTGGGGAGCAGGAGGGGCATTGCAGTCTGCCCTAGGCACCACACTAGTGAGTGGCACCCGTGCGGACCGCGCCCTCCCCCCCCCCCTTAGTACGCTACTGGTTCTTGGTCTTCTGCGTGCACAGCAGTTCGAACTGCGTCAGTTACCTCAGCAGGGATGGTTTTTGGGGAATTGACCGGGTGTATTGCGCTATCTGTGTTCTCGCTAAGGTGTGTGTGAACGTGTGAGGTTGGTCGGTGAAAAGTTCAATCGTCGGGCGGATGGCGAATGGGCGCTGAATTACGTCTTTGATGTGTAGGGTTGATATGTGTCTGGTCAGGCCCAGGATTTGGCCCTGGTCCCCCACCGAGAAATCTGGGTTACCTCTCAATGGGAGTATTGGGCCTGGGTTTGTCGTTAGGTATTGTTTCGTGCCTTGTCTGTGCCAATATTTGCATGGTCGCTGTTATGAATGTGTTGAGCACATGTTTGTGTCTGTATGCGGCTTTGGTGATCCACGGCAGGGTCCTTAAATCACAGTTGGTGATATCTGATTCCAGCTGGGTCCATGGTTTTGTGCTGCCTTCTACTGTCCAGCCTATGACCCTGGTAAGGTGTGCCGTGTGGTAATACTTCTCAAAGTCCAGGAGCGCTAGGCCTCCCCGGAGTTTGGGCAACGTCAGTTGGGAGTGTGATAAGAGTAAGGACCTGCCTTTCCATACAAATTTTTGGACCTCTGTCTTTAGGGTGGAGAAGAATGAGTCTGGGGCCAGGATCGGTACCATCTGGAATATGAAGAGGAGTTTAGGCAGCAGTGTCATTTTGACCGCATTCACCCTGCCCAGCCAGGAGATGTAGTAGGAATTCCATGTGCGTAGTTCTTCTATTGCTTTTTTCAGTGTAGGGAGGTAGTTATCGGTGTGTAGATCTGCCGGGTTCGGTGTTAGCCAGACCCCCAGGTATCTCATGCGTTGGTCGCACCAGCGGTATGGGTGTATGGCTGTAGCGTCTGTCTGAGCGTCGTGTCTATGGTAAGGCCCAGTATTTCCGATTTTGAGTAGTTAATTTGGAGGTTTGATACCTGGCCGTAGGACTCGAATTCTGATTGGATAGCCCCCAGGGAGGGGTCAGGGGCTGTGACTATAAATAGGAGGTCATCTGCGTAGGCTAGTGTTTTGTGGTGGGTCTTTCTGATTTTTATCCCCTGTATGTCATTGTTAAGTCTGATTTTGTTAAGGAAGGGTTCCAGAGTCAGTGCGAAGAGCAGGGGGGATAATGGGCAGCCCTGTCTGGTTGCATTGTGAATCTGGAATGGGTCTGTCAGTGCGCCATTGATCCAAATGCGGGCGGTTGGGTGTGTGTATAGTGCCTTTACCCAGGCGAGGTTTTTTGGTCCAATGCCAAGGTTCTAAAGTGCTCCAAACTTCATATCCCAGTCCACCCTGTCGAACACTTTTTCTGCGTCTGTGGACAGAAGGACCGAGGTCTTCATTGATCTGGCTTGGGCCATGACGTTCAGGGCCCTGATGGTGTTATCCCGTACCTCTCTTCCTGGGATGAATCCCATTTGGTCCGGGTGCACTATCTTGGGTAGTAGTGCCAATCGCGCCACCATGACACTGGCCAGGAGTTTGAGATCTGCATTTAGCACAGAGATTGGGCGGTAGCTTGAGCATTGTGTTGGGTGCTTTCCTTCCTTGGGGAGAAGGGTGATATTTACCGATGTGAACTGAGCTGTTGGTGTGGCTCCTTCCAGGATTAAATTGAGGGCTGCTTGCAGTTTCAGGAGGAGGACTTGGGGGAAGGTCTTGTAGTACGAGAGGGGGAAGCCATCTGGGCCTGGTGCCCTTCCTGTCCTTGCTCTTTTGATGACATGCGTCAGTTCCTCGGTAGAGATGGGCGCCTCCAGGCCTTCCCGGTCCATATTTTCCAGGCTGGTCATGTTCACAGACTCTAGATATCTCTGAATCTCTTCGAGTCTGTTGGGGCTCCCCTGGTGCGTCCTGGTGCAGATGGTACAGTCCCTGGTAGTAAGCAGGGCCGGACTGGCCCACCGGGATACCGGGAAATTTCCCAGTGGGCCGAAGCACCTGGGGCTGGGCTGACAGCCCTAAACGTGTTTGATTTGTTGGTATGAGCGGTGTATCGAGCGGTTCAGGAGTGCAGTGAGTTGATTCCGTTTGATGACCAGGTCTCTGTAAGTCATTGTGTCCAAGGTGCGTTTGTGTCTGGTTTCCAGGGTTGCAATCTCCCTGCTGAGGTCCATTGTTGCCTGTATTGCTTCCCTCTCACAAGTATATTTGTATGAACTGCTAGTGTGTGAATAGGAGTGTGTGAAGTATTTGTGTAAAGAAAGGGATGTTTACTTAAATGTCTTTGTGTGGAAAAAGCTGTGTGTGTAAATGAAGGGGGCTGTTTGTGTGTGAATGTTGGTGTGTATTAGTGTGGAGAGTCTGTGTGTGGATGCAGGGATAGAGTGTGAATTTCAGCATTTGGTGTCAGGGTGTGTGACTGTAACAGGGTATTAGTGAGGAGTGTCACTATGCGTATGAATGCAATAGTGTACGTGTATAGATTATCAGTATGTTCAATCACAGGTGCAGTGTATCACCATGTGTGTGACTGCAGGTTTGTGTTCGCATGCTATTATGTACTTTGTTTTAAATATTTTTATTGGTATCATGTCATAAGCGTGGTTTACGATTGTATTTGAACATTACAGTCGGTTGCCTGCGCAGAGGCGTGTTTCTCGTTGCGGTTATCGGAACAATCAGTTGCCTGCGCAGAGGCGTTTTTTCATTGCATCTAACATAACGTTTAGTTGCCTGCGCAGAGGCTTGTGTCACTGTGTATCTACCATAGCGTTTTGTTGCCTGCGCAGAGGCTCGTTTCACATTGCAGCAGATGTGTCGTTTAGGTGCCTGCGCAGAGGCGGTTCGAGTATTTTACTTTTAACTATATAATGTAATATAATTATTAGCTATCATAGTGTGCGTGCTGTGTATGGTCTGACTGGTGTGTGTGTTGTTTGATGAGTGTGGTGCATATTCTGATGCTTGTTTTAGGACTTGTCACATGTCGCAGCGCTTTTTTATCACATCTATAGTGGATTTTGCCTGCGCCGCGTGCGCTCAACCCGTTCCTAGGGCTGTGTGTGTTGAGGTATTGAGCTGGTATGTGTTGTGGGTGCTTATTGCGTCTCGGGCTACTGGACTGCAGTCACTTAGTCGGTGTCTTTCCCACACGTCTCATTTGTGGCCCCTGCTGTCTCGTCCTATTTTCCTGCTTGTTGTCGTGTGTTGTGCCAGGTCTGTTGCGGTCTCATGGGCAGCACAGCTTTCGAGTGGGTTTGTTATTGCGGCCCGTGTTTCCTGTGTTCTTGTCGGTAGTGTGGGGGCATTTGTGTTACGCTGTTTCTTCCTGTTCTATCCGTGCTTGTCCGCTGTA